ACAAGACCGTTCCTCCCCTAAGGGAGGACAATCCATACCCTTTTTTCTATGAGTGTTGGGCCGCTCGACATGGAACGCAAAAGAATTAGACCGCCTTGTTCGTCAGTTTCAGTTAGTGGACGCCTGGGAGGTTAAAAACCCCAACGTCTTCGGGTACACCTGGGCGTGCCGTGGCTCCTACAGCCGTCTGAATAGGGCTTACATCCGCGCGAACTTCCCGTTCCCTGTGACCCGGTGCGAGATCGTGCCCCTCCCGCCTGGCACGCGGTTTATCTCGGACCACCACGCACTGCTCGTGGCACTGGCGGTTCCTGAGTACCGGGCTGGAAGCGCCGTGTGGCGCATGGACGTGAACCTCCTTCGGGATCCGTCTTCCGTTGATGAACTGCGTAGCATCATTGCAGAAACTTTAAGTCAACAACCCTTCGACCCCATCCAGTGGTACGGTCTGAAAGCCGCCTGGCAGGCCTTGCTGGCCTCGGCTGGCAGAAGCCGTAGAGCTCGGCCATAGCCTCCTGGCTCGGCAAACCGCAACTCTGAACGACCTGATAAGGCGGGTGCGCATTATGCGGAGGGGTGGGACAGGAACCTTCCTCATGCAAGAGTACCTGAGCGTGCTTCGGGCGAGCTACAGCCGCGTACTTAGGTACAACCCTCGAATCGCCAATGCCCAATTTCCGTGGGGTCGACCTGTGTCCGATCCTGAGGTTCTGAAGTATTTGCGCGTGTCTGGCGGGGGAGAGGAGGGGGGGGCCTTTACGCGGGTTTTGGAGGTGGTCCTGCCGGACGGCAGTGTGTCATCCAGGCAGGATGGCATAAACGCCGTGTTCCGGAAGTACCGTATTTTCCGGACTATAGTCCGCACCCGGTGTATAGTCCGCAGAGGCAAATTTGGGGTCAAAAATGAAAGTTTTTGCTTAGATAGTCCGCACCCGCTGCATAGTCCGCACCTGGTGCTTAGTCGACATGAAATTCTTCTCATACGCGGCACACCTTAACATATGTATGTTTTCTTAGCTCAGAAAAAAGCCTATAATACACGTCAATTATTATTAATTAATAATTAATTAATGATTATTAATTATTATTATAATTATTATTAATAAATTAATAAATTAATTAATTTATTCACAAAATTCGTCCCGTCTCGTCATAATCAACGATATTGAAAAACATAATTCCTGTATAGTCCTCACGCGTAGATAGTCCACACAGCCAGAAATTTAAACTTTTAAACATGTAGAGTCCGCGAACTATAGCCCGGAAAATACGGTATTTCTCTCGTTTGCACTCTTCGGCTCAAAGCGATACCCATTGTGAATGTGCCACGGACGTACGTCAGTTTTGTGGGGACCTCCCCGACGTTCCGGCTGAGATGAGCGAGAGGTTGGTGCGTCCCGCCACCCGTTAGGAGGTGGTGGACGTTTTGCGCCCCATGAAGACCGGCTCAGCCCCGGGCTCTGATGGCTTGCATAGAGAATCTTACTCAAAGTTTTGGGACGTCTTGGGCACCGCGATGGTCAAGGCTAATAGCACATTCCTAGATTCGTGCTACGCCCCTGATTTTTTTAAAATTGAACGAGTCATTTTAATCCCAAAAATAGGGGGTTTCTGGCTCCGATCCTCAATCGTGGCGGCCAATCACGCTACTAAACGCGGATTACAAGATACTAACCAGTTTGTTAAACAAGCGGCTGCGCGATATTTTGCCCGTGATCTTTAGTCCGTTTCAGACGTGCAGTGTCTCCGGGCGCACAATCTTTTCTTCTTTAATTTTGACGAAATACCGTTTTGCATACGCGATTTCAAGATCTCTTAACGGTTGTTTCATCTCTCTTGATCAAGCCAAAGCTTTCGACAGAGTTGAGCACAATCACCTCTTTTGTGTCTCAGCTACGTTTCAATTTTCTAGTCTGTGTATAAATTTGTTACAAAGTTTGTACTCAAATATGTCTGGTGAGATTTTTGTAAACGGGCGCCTGACAGCGGCTTTCCCGTAACGAGAGGAGAGCGTCAGGGCTGCCCGTTATCGCCACTGCTTCTTGCTTTGTGTATTCATCCTTTGCTACGCAGGATTCACAAGAGCGAAAATGTTCGGGGTTTTACGCTTCCGGGGCTAAGTACAGTTTCCGTTTCAGCGTATGCTGATGATGTTTCTTTATTTTTGCTCGACAGTGATTGTTTTCTGGCAGTAGATCGTATCTTTTCGAACTACCCCGCGCTGTCTGGGGCCCAATCGAACCCCAGGAAAAACGAGGCTTTGTCTTTTGGTTCCTTCCCGCGTACTTCACTTGGCGTTATCCCGTTTGTCCAAACTGTTCATGTACTAGGCGTGCCTTTTTCGCACGAGGGAGTGTCAACCCTGGCTTGGGACGAGGTCTTCGGTAAAGCTCGAACACAAGTTCGGATGGCGTCAGAGTTTGAATTATCGCTTAGTGACAAAGCTTTTTTGATCATAAGTGGAATCTGCGCCAAGCTCTAATACGTGTCGCGGGTGGCACTTCCCCCTGCTGTTTTTACCCGACGTATGACATCTTTATTGTTTTCTTTTGTATGGGAAGGGAAGAGTGAGCTCGTTTCCAGACCGGCGCTGCGTCTTCCGCGGCCCAGCGGCGGCCTGAGCATTCCGTGTCTCGGTACGTTTGAGCAGGTACTGGCCCTCCGCTGCGTGTTGGATATCTTGGAGGATGTAGGCTATATCGGCCGTACTCTAATGCTGTACTGGTTGGGTCATTTGCGCCCGACGCTCGTGCCTCGGGGACTGGGGAACCTGGCTCCGGCGGAGGAGACACCTCAGCTGCATTACGCTGCGGTCGTCGCGACGCAGCACCGGGTAACGCATGAGTTACCCGGCGTTCAGATTCAACAGCTACCAGTATCCCGTGCTTGCGAGCCGCTTTGTGCCGCAGAGGTGTCTCCGGCGCACCAGTCGCGTAGCTCCCAGGTGTCCTTGGAGAGCCTCGTTTGTGCGGACGTCCGTGCGCAGGCAGCCGATATTGGCTGGAAATTCGGGTGGGGCGTCCTACCAACGAGAGACCGACTAGCACACTGGGGAGTTGCTGCTACCGACAGCTGCCCCCACTGCCCTTCTATCGAATCCAATGAGCATGCCCTCGTCGGCTGTGTTGTCGCCCGGACATTCTGGACACTAGCGGCACGGGCCTGCCGAGAAAACTTCCGGTTCCGGAAACAGAGTACGTCACGACCGTCAAAATGACGCCGCAGCTTGTTTTGCGGTCAGTTGGAGACAAAGAAAAGTCGATATTTCATTTTTTTTTGTAGAAGTTAATAAACCGAGACGAAAACGGATGCCTGTACGGCATTCAGTGAACATTGACAATTTAATGTTAAAGTTATCTGGCAAAAGTAAAAAGGTCATTTCGTGGTCCCTTTAAGTGGGGGGCTTTCAGGGTCAAGACGTCCGCTGATAACTCATACAAAAAGTCGAGCTTTTTCTTCATTTTTAGTTAGAAGTAGAACCATATCGGGCGTAAGCAGTTGAGTGGAAAGGCTTCACCCCCAGTGCCATCTGGATTTTGAAAAAGTTCCTATCGGAGATGAAATTTTACTGCTATACCCACTTAAGCCTCTTGTGACGCCTTAGGACTAAATGCGCTGCAGCGGAGCTGGTCTATAAGACGTCGCAAGAGGCTTAAAAACCGGTATGGTCTCTCTCGGTCTTACCCGATTGGATATGTGTGAACGGCGCTTAACACTATAGAGATGTGCATGGCATTCAACTATGGACTTGATGACTAGTGCCTCAAACAAATTTATTACGTAACTGCATGTTTTTCTCAGCAGGTCCCCATTGAAATGTCTCACCGTACTGTTCCGGTTTGTGTATCCAAAGCAATTCCTCGTCACAAGGGCACATGGTGTGACCAGGGCTGCGAGAGGATGCCCCCATTGCTCTAATTAATGAAAGATTATCGCGTGAGAATTCTGTTTACAATTTCTGGTTCCCAACAAACCGGGATGGCCAGTGCTTGGATGCTGGGATTGCTGCTTGCGCAGGATGTTAGTCCTATTCATCTGGAAGCTCCTTGGTAAAAGCAGTGCCGGAATGTGCCAAGGGTATGTCCAGTGTCTTCAGTGTATTCATTAGCCTAGCTCACTGTTCCTAACGTAATTTACAGGGGGCTTACCGGTGAAACAAAGCTTTTTAAGGAAGAACAAGCGCTGCGATTTTTGCAGCCGCTCTCGCAGCAAAGCCTCATCACGGCAACGCGCGACGCACACACTTCGTTTTGCCGCCCATCTGGTCTAGCCACTTCGCAACATAACAAAAACTATTGTTGGCACGTTCCTTGTGCCAGGCCTCTCATTTTTTATGACTGTACTTCGTCTCACCCTACGATGGACTAAAGGCAGAAGCTACGGACCGCCAGATCCAATCACGAGCCACTTACAAGTTGCGAGGTATTTCGCTTCGATGCGCGTATCGGCACCCGCGTCTCGAATCACTTACGGGGAACGGCGGACGGTTGTTTGGATTGAATAGCACTGAGTGACTCAACAATTTTCGGAAGCTGTGTCATACAGGCTCTTTGCAGTGTCGAAGCTATAAAAATGATGCAGCGCTTTTGGACTCGGAGGATCATTCGTCCACCCCTAACCAATGCTAAGCGTGTCATATTTTAGCTTGCAACGCGATTGGTCCTTGCGGCCCGTGGCTTTGGCCTTTAGTCCATCCTTTCCAAAACATTGGAAACGGAACGGCGGCACCCCCTTGGTGGGAACGTGTCGGAGGATTATTCGACCAGCTCGCCTGCAGACTTTTTTTTGTTTCAATATTCAATCTGCGGTTCTCTACATTTCAACTTCGCTGTAAGAGATCAGAATACCATCGTATTCTACACAAATGCTTGTAAAACTCGGGGCCTTCCCCTTTATTGGAGGCGTGCTAGTTTCCTGTTCACTTACCTCCGCACCGAGTATGTCAATTTCGCGTCTTAGGTGGGTTCGAAAAAAGATATCATTTTTGGGCATCGCTTCTCGGCCTTTTGGCTAAGATCGAGTTTCGAGTTCGTCGACAGTTTCTGCGCAAGAATCGTCTCCCTGTGGCCCGCGTCCCTCAGTCGCGCGTCACCGGGGCCCCACCCTACTGCCACGGAAGATGCCGCCGTCATCCCAGGCCCCGCCGAAGGCTCAGTCTTTCGTGTTCTCGGCACCCGCCGAAGTTCCTGTTGATGAAATAATCGACAGCTTGTATGGCCTCGTTGGTGAGGACAGTTTGACGCACTTGCAACACTTCGGTGCAATGAAGTTCCTGGCTGCAGTCGGTTCGACGGCAGCTGCAGACAAGATGGTAGCGCAGGGCCACCTGCTGCTTCGAAACGTCGTGGTCCCGCTCGAACAAGTGGGACCGCGTATCATCCACGTGACGGTCTTCCGGCTCCCTCCCTACGTCCCCGACGACGCCCTCCAAGCAGTCTTCAGTTCTTACGGGAAGGTGCTCGCCATTTCCCACCTGACCTACAAAGACCGGCCAAAGCTTTTCACCGGCACGCGAGTCCTCCGCATGGAGATGAAGACGCCCGTACCGAACTTCGTCAGCGTTGGAGGGCACCGTGTGATGTGCGAATACCGAGGAATGAAGAAAGTCTGTGCCCGCTGCGGCCTGGAGGGCCACTTTGGAGCCGCTTGTCGCACACCACGCTGCGACCGGTGCGGCGTCTTCGGCCATAGCACTGACGGCTGTAATGCCCCGTGCAAGCGTTGCGGTCACAACCACGCCACCACGGATTGCACGCAGCGCCGGAGTTACTCGGCAGTGATTCGTGACGAGGGTCCTTCGGATCCTAGGCCCCCTCCGCTGACGGCACCCGATCCGCCCGACAGCACTCCAGGTGCTCCACCCCAGCCTGCAGAGACCCACCCGACCGCCGGCGTGACCCAACCGGACGCTCCCCAGGTACCACCAGCCGCGCCTTCGGAGGCCAGCGGGCGCGACGACCCCAACTCGGAAGCGGAGTCCCTCCCCCCCCTTGTCATCGACGAGTCGGCAGAAAGTGAGTCGCCCGCAAGCCCAGAAGCCCAAACCGGAGTAGCCACTGCCTCCTCCTCGACAAGCGACCCAGGCGTGAGGCCACGAACTCCCGTGGAATCTGCCACCGACAACACGGAAAGCATGGAGTCGTCGCCGTCAGAGAGCGACTCCGTCAGCTTCCCGGTGCTGGACCAAGCAGCCAAAAGAGGCCCGCCCTCCTCGTCAGACTCTGGACCTGGCCCCATACGCTTGACGGGTACGAAGAAAAAGGTTCGACGTCTGAGTTTGATAGACCGTCCCGTCATTGGACGCCAACCCCCGTAACTAAGAGGCCTTACTCGTCACTAATTCTATGTCGCGTTCCAGTCTTTTTTTTTCGACCATGTTTGTGTTTTTTCTCTTTGTAATGGCCCTTCGCATCTTATCCCTCAACGTCCAGGGTTTCCGGAATGAGGATAAGCAACGTGAAGTTGTTCATTTCGCCCGTGGTTTAGGCTGTGACCTTCTTTTTGTACAAGAAACTAACTTCTACGGTGCTCGCGATGTCAAAGATTTTAAAGCTCGTTTTTCTTTTCCTTGTTATTTTTCTTACAGTTCGTCGCGCTGCACGGGTGTGGGCGTGATTTTTTTTCGACCGTGCTTATTCACCAGTAGTTTTTGCACTTTCGACCTAGACGGCCGCGTTATCTGTCTCGATCTTTATCTCGGTTCGCAACCGGTACGCGTTATCAACGTTTATGCGCCTGCTCAACCAGCGTTTTCACATTCCTTTTTCGCATCGCTAGACGTGTTTCTTTTAGAGGGCCATCCTTTTATTCTTCTCGGGGATTTCAACTGCGTCATTAATTCTTTCCAAGACGTCCAGGGGCGGGGCTGGGGCCGCTCGACATGGAACGCAAAAGAATTAGACCGCCTTATTCGTCAGTTTCAGTTAGTGGACGCCTGGGAGGTTAAAAACCCTAACGTCTTTGGGTACACCTGGGCGCGTCGTGGCTCCTACAGCCGTCTGGATAGGGCTTACCTCCCCGCGAACTTCCCGTTCCCTGTGACCCGGTGCGAGATCGTGCCCCTCCCGCCTGGCACGCGGTTTATCTCAGACCACCGCGCACTGCTCGTGGCACTGGCGGTTCCCGAGTACCGGGCTGGAAGAAGCGCCCTGTGGCGCATGGACGTGAACCTCCTCCGGGATCCGTCTTCCGTTGCTGAACTGCGTAGCAGCATCGCAGAAACTTTGAGTCAACAACCCTTCGACCCCACCCAGTGGGACGGCCTGAAAGCCGCCTGGCAGGCCTTGCTGGCCTCGGCTGGCAGAAGCCGTAGAGCTCGCCAAACCGCAACTCTGAACGACCTGATAAGGCGGATGCGCATTGTTCAGCGGGGTGGGACAGGGACCTTGCTCATGCAAGAGTACCTGAGCGTGCTTCGGGCGCGCTACAGCCGTGTACTTAGGTACAACTCTCGAACCGCCAGTGCCCAATTTCTGAGGGGCAGACCTGTGTCCGACCCCGAGGTTCTGAGGTATTTGCGCGTGTCTGGTGGGGGGGGGGGCGGGGCCTCTACGCGGGTTTCAGAGGTGGTCCTGCCGGACGGCAGTGTGTCATCCAGGCAGGATGACATAGACGCCGTTTTCCGGGAGTATTTCTCTCGCTTGTACGCTTCAGCTCAAAGCGATACCCCTTGTGAATTTGCCGCGGGCGTAAGTCAGTTTTATGGGGACCTCCCCGACGTTCCGACTGAGATGAGCGAGAGGTTGGTGCGTCCCGCCACCCGTCAGGAGGTGGTGGACGTTTTGCGTGCCATGAAGACCGGCTTGGCCCCGGGTCCGGATGGCTTGCCTACGGAATTTTACTCCAAGTTTTGGGATGTTTTGGGCGACGCGCTAATCAAGGTTATTAATACATTCCTAGTTTCGGGCTACGACCCCGATTCCTTTAAAATTGGACGAGTTATTTTAATCCCTAAGACGGGAGTTTCTGGCTCCGATCCTCAATCGTGGCGGCCAATCACGCTATTAAACGCGGATTACAAGAAACTAACCAGTCTGTTAAGTAAGCGACTTCGCGATATTTTGCCCGTGATCATTAGTCCGTTTCAGACGTGCAGCGTCCCCGGGCGCACGATCTTTTCTTCTTTAACTTTAACGAGGGACCTTTTTGCATACGCGTGTTCAAGATCTCTTAACGGTTGTTTCATTTCTCTTGATCAAGCCAAAGCTTTTGACAGAGTTGAGCACAATTACCTCTTTTGTGTCTTAGCTAGGTTTGGATTTTCTAGTCTGTTTATAAATTTGTTAGAAAGTTTGTACTCAAACATGTCTAGTGAGCTTTTAGTAAACGGGCGCCTGACAGCGGCTTTCCCCGTAACGAGAGGAGTGCGTCAGGGCTGCCCGTTATCGCCACTGCTCTTTGTTTTGTGTATCGATCCTTTGCTTCGTAGAATTCACACAAGCGAAAATGTTCGGGGTTTCCCGCTTCCAGGGCTAAGTACAGTTTCTGTCTCAGCGTATGCTGATGATGTTTCTTTATTTTTGCGCGACAGTGACAGTTTTCTGGCAGTAGATCGTATCTTTTCAAACTACTCCGCGCTGTCTGGGGCTCAATTGAACCCCAGGAAAAGCCAAGCTTTGTCTTTTGGTTCGTTCCCGCGTTCTTCACTTGGTGTTATACCGTTTGTCCAAACTGTTCATGTACTAGGCGTACCTTTCTCGCGCGAGGGAGTGTCACCCCTGGCTTGGGACGAGGTCTTCGGTGAAGCTCGAACACAAGTCCGGCTGGCGTCAGAGTTCGAATTATCGCTTAGTGACAAAGCTTTTTTGATCAAAAGTGTAATCTGCGCCAAGCTCTGGTACGTGTCGCGGGTGGCACTTCCTCCTGCTGTTTTTACCCGACGTATGACATCTTTATTGTTTTTTTTTGTATGGCAAGGGAAGACTGAGCTCGTTGCCAGACCGGCGCTGCGTCTACCGCGGTCCAGCGGCGGCCTGAGCATTCCGTGTCTCAGTACGTTTGCGCAGGTACTGGCCCTCCGCTGCGTGTTAGACATCTTGGAGGATGTAGACTATATCGGCCGTACTCTAATGCTGTACTGGTTGGGTCATTTGCGCCGGACGCTCGTGCCTCGGGGACTGCACTCTAAGAAAAAATGGAGGAAAAAAGTAGCAACGGCCCGCCTTCCTCCCTTCTACCGACGCGCCCCCAAGCGGACACGAGAAAAGGGGAGGAACGAAACTTTTTTCTCCTTCTCCAGGCAGACGGGTGAAAGCTTTCGCCCTCCCGACTCATCGTCTTTCGGTTTCGTTTTTCGAGCAGGTCGCGCACGTTGTTTAATAAATAGCTGTTGAGTTGATTGAGCTTCAGCAGCAGCGAAGGCCGCCTGTAATTCCGTCTTCTAGTCTAAACGTGCAGAACATTTCGGTTGCATTGACGTTTTTATCACTAATTTTATCAAACGAGCAAACGAAGCCGCTAGAAACAGCGAAGTTCCGGAACAGTGCCAGCAGTGCCACGTACACTGGGGGATGGCCGTCTCCGGATTGTTTGACTCGCGCGGCACGGAACTACAGCCGCTACAGCCACTGCAGCAGTACACACTACAGTAGCGAAAGCACGCGGAACTGTGTCGACGTTTTCGACGTTATGGAAACCGCAGGAACTGTGTCCGCTGTGTCCAAGAAAGGCAGGTTTTGCTGCCGGCTGCCTGGGTGCCTTCCCCCCTGAGTTCGGTTCTGTTTTCCGATGCCGAGTGCAACCGGCGTTCAACGTGGTCCTGTGTTTGTGCGTGTCAGCAACATAGCTGCAACATCGTGATGGCAGTGTTGTGGGTTGTGAACGGAAGACTGGAATTATCGCCGATGTGACCGTGTGTTCGCGTATCAGTGGTGTAACAACAAGAGGAGATCGTAAACGGTCGGGCATTGATGCCGCTGGTCGGGCCGTGATCGGAGGGGGCGGGTTGTCGCAGTTTGACATTCTGCTTTACATTAAAAAGTTTAATACCGCTTGAGGGATTACGTGCAATCGATCAACGTGCGGATAGTCATGTTGGAACGCTGGTCTGAGCAGTATAAGCTCCTATCGTACAGTGGCCAATGTGACTGTTGGTTGTATTGTCCCCGAGAGCGATTGCGCTCTGGGGCAAGGACAACAGTACGAAATTGTGACGGAAAGTACGTATATTTACAGTGTGGAATTTTAGCGTTAAAAACAATAGTAGGTAAAATCGAAAAAAAAAAGCTACCATTTATTTTGCTGTTTAGATATATACTACGGTTCCTGGAGAAACTGCCCTCCAAGTGGCACGCTAGGATGAGCGCTAGAAGTTTTCGGGCTCTCCACGGCGTAGCTCCGTACACTTAACACCTGCCACAAGTCGCAGCTTTGACTGCATTCAAGTTGATCGAAAAGCGATTTCTCAGCCCGTGAAGCATCACTTCCAGCTGAGTGAATATCCGCTCTACAGAGATTAATTCAAGACGGCAATTGAAGCTTTGCGCGAACAGCAGAAATAGAAAAACAAACACTACAATAGAAATACAGGCTACGAAGCGCCGTGCGGGGAAACAAACTCATGGCTTCGAACCGCATTGGAGCGGTTTGATTTATTGCTTTCAAATAATTACGGCGTGATCGAGCGTTTACTTTTTAATGAGAGATTCATCCCCTGAGCCGTTCAAAATACTCTCAGAGGTATGACATTGCTGGGAAAAAATCAACATGCTGGGAATGTTTTTTTATTGCTTAGGGAGTCACCGAAAAGTTCCGCACGTTCAAAACGACCAGTATAAAAAACGGAAACGTAGAACACGGGTGTAGTGTTCGGGTTAGTGTGGTGTTCTGTTGTATTGATATTTGTGTGTGCAGTGCATGTGCTTAATGTATGTTCACCTGATGCTTGTAATAAGTGTAATGGGTGTCATGTGTGTATAGCAGAGGATCCTCAAGCGCAGTAGTGGCCTGAGAGAAGCAAATAATTTTTTGTAGAACATGAATTGGGCGGTATCTAGCGCCACCTAGCCTAGCTACTTGCAATTACTCTGCTTGACCCCGCCATCTGGTGGCTAGCGATTTAACCTTCTTTCACGCTACGCGATAAACAGCGGCTTCGAGTTTGTTCTTTCGAGAACGGCTTTTGGTTTCGCGGAGTGAGTTTGCCCTTCTCTGTGATGTGCGGTTGACGAAGGAATTGTGACTCGAGGAACACCAAAGGTAAGACGCAAAGTGCACGAAGTAACTCGGTATCGGTTGTCTCCGTTTAACATCGCAGTGCTGTCGACGAGAAGACTGAGTAACTGCTTTCGAAACGCAGGTTTCTGTACCTGTGGGGGGAA